CTGGATGACTAATTTTTGCAATTTACGTTGGCGCCCCCAGATTGCCGCCAAATGGCGCCATCGTCGAGAATAGATGTCATTGTCGTGTTTTGCGGCAATTTGGAGGCGCCAACATAAATTGCAAAAATTTGTCATCACGGGGGATCGAACTCTGGACCATTTCTTCACCACTGTTTTGACATTCCTGGGGGCGTTCAGGAAAAATGGATCATGGTTCTGTGTTCCTCGCATGAGCCCCTACAACATGCAGAAAACCATTTCGAAAAAGCGCTCCATGTCCTGAAAGACCTCCCTTGTTAGGCACATTCCACCTTACATAGGTGTGGACATGGTACTTGAAAATGGGAATACGTAGCTGTATAGAGAAGACGAAAAAAGAAGAAAAGAGGCGAATTTGCTCAAAAGACTGGAAGTGAGGACTTGTTTCCCAAAGGTACATTCAATGTACAACGAAGAACTACAGGGTCAAGACGAGAGAGGACAAACGTCGAAAATGAGGGAGCACAGTGGACCAGCGATGCTCAGACACACGGTCACGTCGACCGTTGTTCACAAGTAATACGAGCAGCGTCCAGCAGCTGAAGTGAGAATGTCCTAGCGTCCGCCTCGCACATTTTTGAGCAGCGCGGACGTTTCCCACTTCTGTGGATAGATTAATCCTATTGAAGATAGCTAATGATCCACTCAGATTCATCGTGGATATGTCAATAACAATCTCACCCACACAAGAAAAAAAGGCTCCTGGAGCCTTCTGCTGAGTAAATATGGATAGCCTCTCCCTTCAGTCCCCGGCATTGACATCTCGCATGTAGGTACAGCTTTTCATTTCTAACCAGATGTTTGTTTGTTTAACGAGGACCCGATCCGGGTTGCTGAGAGAGGTAACCACCTTCTCAATTTTTTAGATGCCCAATACTACCAACGAAGCGTATAATATCAGTCGGATACAAATGAGAGTCCACAGGGGAGTAGCGATACACAGACATGACACCATGCACGCTGTTGTAAAGCACTAGCAGCTATTCAGGGTGGGACGATCAAAAGCGACTCCCACCAAGTTTTTTTTTGGTACTTTGAATTTAAAATCAAAGGCATACAGTCAAATTCTCACCTGAGCACGTTCTGTGAAATCGTTCGTCGAGTTTGTATCCATTGGGACATGTGCAAACTCCACCATGCGGTGAAGCATGACAACCGGCTTGACAGCCGAGCGATGGACACAGATTCTGTGCTGGAAATCAAATGTATGAGTTTTAAGCTGTTTTAGCTCTACGTTTTTTTCTGCTTTTCACTTTTCTTGCTACATTTATGAATTCTTCATCTAGAAGTTGCATAGACTAAGAAAATAAGCCTTGAAATGAGGCAAATGTGGAAGCAGAATCGATATTCACTCCGGAGTTAATTTTTCTTCGTTTCACGAGCATATGACTTTGAGAACTCACTAACTATTCACATAAATGATATAGAAAGCTAAGAGGATGGCTCAAAGCACAGTCACGCTGATTCGTGGTGAAGAGCTCCTAAGACTGCGTTGGGCTGGCCTTCTTCTTTCATTTTGCTACCTCAGAGGAGATTCGACCCAGGGTCGGTCCGCCATCGTTGCGTGGTTTTTGCAAAATGTGTTTACTGACCCTCCTCCCCCAAGGTGGACCTACGGCGTGTACCAGGGTCAACCCTCTCTCTCTCTTTTCGAAATTTTTACGACCCCCTCGCCCCAAGGTGGATTTGGCACGACCCGCCTTTCTCGAAATTGCGGGTCCACACGGGGGGAGGGGGGGGGGGGGGGGGGGGTATATAGTCCCTCTGAAACAGTAAAAATTTTCCCACAATTCCCTAAATTTTCAACCAATTTACCCTATTTCTACCTATAATCTCACTGTTTCCTTTTCTAGGGGGGTATATACACCGGCTGAAACGGCAAATTTTTATCTTGCGCGCCCTCTACTCGCACAACCTACTACCCACGAAATCTTAGTTTCTCCTCAATCCCACACGTGATTTCGAGCAACTAAAGTGGGTACGACCCCCCCTCCTACAAACTCAACCAGGTACGACCCCCCGTTGTTACTCGTAACAACGTAGGGTTGACCCTGCCTAGGTACCCCTTCTCGACCTCGACCACCATATTCCTCCTCTATAGTATTTAATTCTGGTACCACTCAACCCACCAAACTCCGCCCACTTTTTCCTCCAAAAATGCCGTCGAGCGGGAGGGGGGGGGAGGGGGGGGATATACGCGCGCTGAAACGGCGAATTTTTCTCCCGTGCGCTCCCAACTCACCTAGCCTACTACTCGTGGAAACTCGAGTTTCACCACAAACTGAAGCGGATACGACCCCTCACAAACTGAAGCGGATACGACCCCCCCCTCACAAACTGAAGCGGATACGACTCCCCCGAGCTAAACCAGTACGACCCCTTGGTACTCTGTACCAAGCGTTGGCGTTGACCCTGAATTTAGACCAAAGAGAATGAGAATGCAGGTTAGTATTAAGAGTGGAACATGCCCTCAAACGAGAATTTTCCATTGAAACATACTAGTCATTTTAATTATTGCTCATGTTTCAAAGTAGTGAGAAATTCAACAGAAATTCACTTACAACAACTGAGCTCATCAGCGCCATCTTCGCAGTCCTTCACACCGTCGCACAGGCGAAGCTCGTCGATACAATGTCCCGTGCCGTTGCAGTGCCATTTACCCGGTGGGCAACGGTATTCGCCACAATCCTCTTCGTCTGAGTTATCGCCTGCAAACTGAGCAACTTGTTTTCCAATAATTTTGGTGAAATAATTACTCTCAAATCCATTTCCTGATTCTTGATCAATTTTAGAAGTTGTTTTTGCTTAATCTATGTATTTATATGTTTTCTTAGATCCATGCGACACATTCAGAGCTACGACTTACCACAGTCATCGTAATAATCACACTTGAACTTCCTCGGTTGACAGCGTTTGTTCTTGCATTGAAATTCACTGGCCGAACATTTTTTGAACTCTGAAATAAGTGATTTTCCTAGGACAAAACCATGAAAACTAGTAAAAGCACCTACCGCAGGTTTCTGGTTCATCGGAGCCGTCGGCGCAGTCTTTGGAGCCATCACATACCCACGATTTCTGCACACATTGTGATTGATCGGCACACCGGAATTGGTATTGGAAACAGGCGGTATGGTTGTGGGAACAGGAGTCCTGAAGAAAAAGAAGTTTTGCGAGGTTGTGATAATCGGCGCTATTGCAATATACGAGTGCGCAGTATGGTAAAATAATGTAAAATCGCATGAAACACTTCCTTCTCGTTGAAACGCGACTAAGCCTTGGGCGGGGGTGAAGTGACCCTGAAGTGCGGAGCCTTTTTCATCTTCCCTGGAGCTCCTGCCACCTCCTAGCTTAGCCCTGGAGGATGCCCGATATTCCGACAGCGCCTGGAAACCCCTTTGAAAATCGGACGAGCTGTTGATTTCATATGCATTCAAAATTCCAAGTACTGTATACACAAGAAACTGGTAGCGGCAGAAATTAGGCGTTGTTCCGTGCAAGAGCGATAGTTTCCTTGAGCCAAGTTCAAAATTTTTGTGCCTGCTTCCCAAGCCTGCCTTCTGTCCACAGCCGACCACCTCCAAGTTCGCAGCAACCATGGTCGGTGACCTTGGCACAGTTAGTCCTGACACTACGACTATGCCACGCATACCTTCACCTCCAGAAAGCCCATTGCGCGAATGTGGAAGAAGCCAGCAATTTTACGGTTTTTTCGAAAGTTCTCTAAAGTTTGATTTTTCTTCTCTTCACACTACCTCTTCCCAGGTCTTACGACATCACAGCTACCTTGCTTTCCCTAGTCTTTACGAGGCGATCACCCGCTCGCCAAATGCAGGGCTCCACAACTCGTAGAATCAAATATACGAACCGGACATCCCCTTCTGCTGCTTCTTAACTCTAAGCGCGGCAGCCTGACTCGTGATTTTCCACTTTGAAGGCTTTCCGGTTGTATGAAGCACACTCCCGTACTTTTTTTATAATACGTTTGTGGGTGTTCCAGATTTGTTAAGGCAACATACGGCGGAAGTCGTGTGACCAAGTTCTTGCATTTGGTAGGATAATTCCGCTGTGGGAGGACTAATCACAATGCTGGCATTATTGTAACACGGAACCAGGGTCAACCGTCCGTTGGACAAAGTCCAACGCGACGACGAGAGTAATGCCGAGAGTGAACGTACGCACGGAGACACAGACGGCTCGCGGGTGGCGAGAGTGAATGCCGGCGCGGAGAGCGGTGAACATCGGTCCAACGTCGCTCCAATATCGGTCCAACGTAACGGTTGACCCTGCCTGGAACCAATCGACAGAGTTGCTAGGACCTTGCAAGGTAAGCTGCCTAGCAGTCATTTATTCTTTATCAGGTTGCTATCGCCGGCCTTCTTGTCTGTTGCGTTTTTCTGCTCTCACACTCTCCTCTGGCGATCTCAGGTCTTTTCTCATTGATTCGCACAGCCGACTCCAGGTAAAAGCCCTTGGTTCAAGCGTTTGCGGACGAACCTCTTAGCTTTTTCTTTTTGGCTGGCACATTTTCGCACAATACATTGTATTTGCAAGCAAGAACCACATCATTTGGATTTTTGAAATGCTTTAATGTGGGCACTCACAGAACAACAGACTCCGTGGGGCGCTCACCAGTACAGAGTTTTAGCAGAATTTGTGGTCTCCGGTAGATTCACTGTGTATGCGATTTCTGTGTTTGAGTTGTTCGGCCTTCTTTACTGCTATCGTATAGGCCAAATCAGCTATACAGAATTACCTTTTTCGTTCACCTCAGATCCCGACAGTCGTTACTTGCTCCGTCACTACTTCTTCGGACATATTCACAAAAGTCTGTTCGTCCATCTGCACACATGTGAGGATCGCTGCCGTGTTACTTGTCGCCAGGCAGTCTACCGGATTGCTGCCTCTGGCAAAATGGAAAATCTCAAACTGAAGAGAGTCGTTTCTGCCACCTGTTTGACATTTGACCCCTTCCTACATTTTGATCTCTCCAATATGATTTTCAAAAATGGTGCTAAAAAAGTAGGGAGGTTGGTGTCACTGATACCTTCTACTATGGCACGTAGCTTCAAAAAGGTCGATGACAGCGAAATCCAAGTCTACGACAATCCTTTTCGTCCGAACCGTCGGCACAGTCGGTGATGTTGTCACATCGTTGATACTCAGCGATACAGGAGACACTGTGCCATTCGTACTTGTCACACTGCCATTGATCCGCTTTGCAACCAGGATGAGCTAAATGTAAATTGTAGGAAGATGAGATGTGGATAATTACGCATGAGAAAAGCGAGATTCGAGAGAAAGTTGCATGGGAGGGAGAGGACGTACAGAGTCATGTGACGGGGTATAAGAGACGCCGTTTTAAGGATAACACGTTGGTGTGTCAGGGGCCAGAGTACCGAGATCTGCGCGCCGTTTTTGGTTGTTATGAGCTATCACCCCTTTCACATACAGAAAATGGCACAAACTGCCAAGGAAAAGCGGTCGATTTTGCATGTGACCTTAGGATAGCGGCAGAAGAGTTCAGAAAAAAGTGTTTCCTATAAAACATGATAAAATTGTAATCATAAGTGAAACAGCGCATGACCAAAATGTTAGGGGATTTTGACCTGTTTTTGTTTGCTAACTGCTGTTTTTTGGCCGCCATGTTTCCGCACTTTCGCGAATGTCTCACCTAACACGAGCGCACCTTCTGTCGCGAATGGTTATATGGATAATTTCTAGCTTTAGGGCCCGGGTTAACCTTTACAAACCATCAGACATCGCAGTTTGATAGGCTAACATCTGTGCGCGGTTATGTGAGAACTCACTAGATGCCATAACGATCAGGAGCGGTTAAAAAAAAATATTGACAGCCGACGTCTTCTAGCACCCACTCCCGGTTTCATAAAGGAGGCGATCTTCTATGCCGGCTCTTAAGATTGAATTAAGTAGCAACCCTAATACCGCCCCCGCTATTGACGAAAAGTCAGTGGTACCTGATTTGCCATGTCGCGATATAGTATTCATTCCAGTCAACATTTCCAACGAATCGCTTGGTGAAATGTGCGATATGGTTCGAAAAGCTTCTTACAACAACATAAGGGACCTTCCTGGTGAGACTAAAGTCCATTTCTTTCATGTTCGAAAAGGCTCGTGAGGTAATTGGTTCCTTGAACTGACCGTGTGCACAAGGGAGGTCAACACCAATTAATCCTCAAACATCGGCCGCATTTGCGGCACATTACACTCACGATTTTCATTCATTTTGTATGGGCGCGGAATTCATCCGAATTTTCACGGCCTCAAAAATTGTCAGACCAAACATAAAGAACATTTTCGAAAATCCGATCTTCAAAATTGGTATCTGAACATAGTCTTGGAACGGAGCCAGACGGCTTCAAAATTGATCTCTGAACATAGCTTGAAAATGCTTCCAGAGATATTGGTCAGTAAGGACTACACGGAACCTCAGAGAGAGTCATTAAAATTAATTGTTTGGTACAGTGATCCTTCTGACATTATCCAGCATTTCCTAGGCCGTACGCAAAACTTATTTATTTATTATTATTTTTTATTTATTTGAGACGTCGCTCAAGGTAGACGTAAAAATGCAAGCAATAATAAACTTGAAAATTGCTATTATTATTCGATTATTTAGTAATATAAGCAATAATAATAGCAGTAATAATAAATTGGCTTGCATAGGCAGCCTCAGGTGAATTATCAGGGCTTTGACGCAAAAGCGCTACAACAGACCAATACGACACCTGGTGAAGAAATCTCCCACTGCCGCAACCTGGAGCTCATGACCCACAGCCTATGCTTTATGCTCTCACCACGTACCATATGACTTTTGTGAGGACCAAGCGCTACTCCTTTCCCTACAGTAGTGGTCCTACAAGTGATGTGACCCTTAGCAGCCGATTTCATTGCTGTTATTACACTACATCATGCTACGTGACTATTTCAGTGTTGAAAGTCCTTATCATGATCAACCGCTGTGGAAACCATTGTGCTACGTCATCGTGGTGTAGTGGTAGATGTCAGCTGACCAGTTTGGTCGCATGAGACAGGTGTGATTTATGGTGACCGCGCCGATCTATTTTGTTACTCACGCATGTTATTTCATAAGCGACCAAACGATGTGATGCCACCTTTTTTTCAAACACCCTTTGCAGATGAGTTATGAAGGGAAAACATGGCCTACCCATCCTGAACTTAAAGGGCCATTTCGCAACGAAATTATTTCTCCAATCCCTGTCACAAACAAATACGCTGGCTCCGTGAGCACTGAGATGAGGCTACTTTCGTGGGTTGAAGTTTTGGGAAGTGAAAAAGGAGCTGAAATCATCATGCACGTTTCGTAGATTAATGCTTGACAACCGTTGCGGCGTCTGCGTCTCGCTCCCCGTTACGCTTTCTCGCCTACGTCTGGCGTTTTCCTCGCGTCAGCGCACAATATCTTCAAGAATTTGGGTCCTACACTCCGTGTTGAAGTGGGGATCAAAACCGTAATAACTTCGTATAGCATACATTATACGAAGTTATGTACCTTGTGGTACTGTGTCCAAATTTGAAGTCCACCCTACACTTTTGTGTGCTCTTCTCCGGATTTCCAACTCGCAGGAGCTTAATTATATGTATGTAATCACCACCCCATCTGACGGTCGTCTGGAGGAACTTAGTGTGCAACTTTGAAGCTGTTTCGGGACAGACTTAACCACTCGCAGAACACGGTTTCATGGTAGTGGAGGGTGTTCGTGATGGTGCCAGTAGGAGAGCGGACTGTCATCACATCATAGACCCTTTTCAAAACGGGTTGGTTGAAAGAAAGAGACCTGTAAGGATGGGCAAACACAAGGCATGTCAAGCGGGGTATTTTTGCAAAAGCAATGATTTAGACATTCAAGTCACCTAACGGGCAATGGTTAATGTGTCGAAGCAGATGTTCTTACCTGCCCATGGCATATGATAACCTTGTGACTATTCCATGAGAAACGTCACGACACGACACTCTTCGCTAAAGACCGAGAAATCACTCCAAAAAATTGCTCTTTGGTTCATGAAATTCCTACCCTGATGCTGATGCGGTACTTGAAAATAAAGAAAACAGTGTTGTCGATGTTTGGACAGAGTTCGGCAGTTTTTGCCAAGATTCACAAAAATGTATATGTAATACTGAGCAAAGCTGCAACATTATGAGAAACCGACACAAGTTGAGCAATCCTACCATGCATCGATTCATGACTCCTTTCTGGGAAAAGGAACATGAGAACCATATGCTACTAATAATATATGAAGGTAGAACAATGGGTTTTAGCAAGCAACAATCTTCTTGAAGACAAACAGCACGGGCGGACAGCCTTTTCAACCCGAAAGGGTCTGTACCGTCGTGAGTTACTTATCGAAATTTTTTACGACACTTCGCTCCCCAACGTGGATTTGATACAGACCCCCTTTACCACTCAAATTCCCTAGATAATGCACCAAACACACTTACAAAACCCATTTTACCGTACCAATATTCTTTTGCTTAGGAGCCGTATATACGAGCGCGCCTGAAAATTTACATATACTGCGCGCACGCTCCCCTCGCCAGACACTACGTACCACGAAAATCCAATAGTTACCTCAAACACCACACTCAACGTCGATTTTCGAAGCGATAAACCAAGTGACGTAGACCCCCCCCACCGACCTTACAAAACGTCAACCAAAGGTACGACTCCCCACCCCCGCGTGATTACTACGTAAACAAACGGGCAGAGCTTAGACCCACTGCTTTGCACAACAGAACCAGGATGGCAAAAAAAGCAACACGGTCGGACAGCAAGAGTCTATCAATGACCCAACCAACGCCGGAGATACAATAACACTGCAATCTCATTGTTTCTACCTTTCCCAAACAGACTACGCATGGGATGAGCGCCATATCCACAGAGATCGCCGCTCACAAATGAACTGACTGTTTTATTCAGTCCAGCATTAACGAAGGTTAAAATCCACCTGGAATATCTCATGCTATACGACCTTAATCTACAAAAACAAGCGTGTGTGAAAAACAAATTCCGACGCGGACTAAGCATGTACTCTTCGACTTCTAATTTCCATAACCTCCGTATAAATGAAGCACAAGCGGAACACATCGTGGCCAGTCTTACTGAATACTTCAATGCTTTTTGCGTTCACAGAATAGGTTGATATTTTATCAAAAAGAAAAAGATTTCACGGCAGTGAAATGAATTGTCAGTTGTTCCTCGATATTTTCAAACTCGGAAAACCAGAAATATAACCACATTTTTATGGAGTATGACATGCGCCGTTTTAACCCCGCAACATGTGACATCAAATGTGGAACACAACGCAATACACAATCTTATAAATATTCACCAAGTAAATGTAAATGAAATTATTACAAAGAATGTAACAAATAATTGGAGGGGGTTTTTTCAAAGAAGTAGTTTGTCTTCCGTTTCGCACGTGCCCTTATACGGAAAACAAACTGACACCGATATCCTCCCCCCGTGACTCTTCAGTAAGGAAGGTAAAATTGAGGTTTATACATATATAACAGGATTGAAAAACGAAAACTTACCACATGTTCTTCAACTTCTGTTGCATGTGCAATACAGCAAGTTATAATAAACAATTAACAATATTCTAGAAAAGATATAGAAGTTATGTTTTTGAATTGTCGTAGTATATGTGGTGACTAGTGTAATCTTGTAATTATCAGAAAAAAAAAAACAAAAAAAAAAAAACATAAACAATGACAATTTATATAAGTCCAGAAGTCTCAATTAAAACTTTTTGTGGCAGTCCAAAAATCCTTGCGTTCTTTCTATGATGTCATAAATCTGTGAAATAGCGGAAGTCACAAGTCCCCCTCTCCTCCCGCCACCTGGTGGGCCATACGATAAAGAATAAAATGAACATATCAAAGGACTATTAAGTATTAAATATTTTTAAACACAACGCAATTCTAAAAGTCCAAGAAAATAGTCGGTAAATATTTAAAATTAAATAAATAGATCAAAATATACCCAAACGTAAAAAATAGGGTTGATTCAGAGGTACAGGACGATGTTTCTGGATAACTCATTCAATTCTAATTGCTATGTATCCTATCTGCCTGCAGAGCATGTGTAAAGGTTAGAAAGTACTCACGACAGTCTTTCTCGTCTTCACCGTCCGAGCAGTCTCCAGACCCGTCACACCTAAAGTAGTCAAGCTTAACGTATAGGCCCAGTGACATTGGGCCAATTCAAATGCATCATAAATATAATTTTTCACGTTTTGGCAGTAACAATGCAATCGTGCAGGCGTCTTCCTAAAGTGTGTCAAGTGGTCACAGGTTAATATCGCACTACTTACTTAGAGTTCAAATTTCGCGCCTGTATTGTATAACACGCAACACGCCATAGAAAACCAATTTTTGCTAATAAAAGGTTCAGGCATCCCGGAATCTCGTTCCCTCTTCGGCTCAGGCTAGGCCTTACTGTTTTTTTTCTCACATGCAAAGCTAAATCGGCCGCTGACCTTTATCCGTCTGCCTCCAGTTTTCATGGCAGAGAATTTTGAGGAATGTTCTGGTGACTACGTAACCTATAGAACCCGAATTCTTCTACAGGTACAAAATCTGAGCTGCAAGCAGCGCGGTGTCCTCCAATACCACGTTCACTGGAACCCAACCCGCTCGATGGACTACTTAAACTTGGTCCATCAAACCGCCTCAGTTTGATGCTGCCCGCCCAGGGTCAACCGTCCGTTCGAACTGTTCGAACGGGGGGTCGCATTTGTGTTCTGGGAGGGGAGAGGGGTCGCATTGGTCGCATTGCGCGCTTTGGTGATCAAGGGCTTTGGTGAATCAGGGGCGCAGGGCATGGGGAAAAAAGTTGCCGTTTCACTGGTTGTAGATACCCCCCTCACTGTGTCATCGAATACTATACTAGAAGAGGGAGAGGTTGCGGTAGAGGAAGGCTGGTTGTATTGGGGATCGCACTCTTGTGTTGGGGGGTGAAACAGGGTCAACCGTCCGTTCGAACTGTTCGAACGAAGGGGTCGCATTTTGGTCGGAAGGGGGTCGCAATTTCGAGGACTGCCAGCCACAGGCGCGTGCGTGGCGTATCCGAGGGCAAGAATTGTTTGTGCAGACCGCATTAGATTCGATTATTATGCACAGAGAGACAGTTTTAGGCAAATTACGGTGTTTTCCTTGAGGAATAAAGAACAGTTGAATGCATCCCTATGAAAGGTTTGACTTCTCGGGGCTGAAATTAAAGTTCTTCGGGACCTGATTTTCTGAGGACGATTCTTCCAGACAACGGTAAAACACATAAGAAAGCAGAAATCTCGTAGTCTTCAAAAATGTCTTCGCCCCTCCCCAACAAGTTCTTTGAAGGAAGTTATTATTGCTGAAAGCTCAAAAACTCGCATGTGCTGCTCAAAAACCTATGGGAACAAAATGTTCGAACGTGTGATTTTCTCGGAAAATGATTTTGAAAAACGGTTTGGTGCTTGTCAGAAAGAGCAAATCCTGTCTTTCCACCCCATGGAAAAGTGCATCACAGAAATGAAAATGAAGTGAGTTATGCCCGCTGAAAGCCCAAAAACTCGCGATTTTCAAAAAAGTGTTCGAACGGGGCGATTTTTTGAAAAAGAGGACAATCGTCAAACTTTTTATACTATTTTGTTAGAGAAATATTTGAAGTTTCTGAAACTTTTTACAGATTTCCAAAATGTCGCATACGAAAGATTTTATGGGCCTTCAAAGTTGAAGGTGCGCCTTCTTAGAATTTTGGGTTTTCCACTTCTAACAGAAGTACTTTCCGGAGAGTTAGGCAATCCTTGTAGTTTTCTGGAAGCGCACCTCAGGCACAATCAAAATCTACCTCAACAAGTCAAAAAAATACGTCCCAAGAAAGTTATTCCCCTCTAAAATTTTTTCTTCGCCGCGTCCCGTTCTTCCAGCGCCCGGGTGATACCTGCCGCGCTCCAAGGCCGACGCGACGACGCGCAGACGCTTTCTGGCGCAACGGATTCATGTCTAGCACTCTTATTAACAAAAACAGGGGGTCGCAACTGGACCCCCTCGAGAGCTAGGGGGTCGCAAAAATCCCGAAAATGTTCGAACGTGACGGTTGACCCTGGTGGCAACTGGACCTCCTGCTCCTCAACATGGCGTGGTCGCAAAAATCCCGACAATTCGAACGTGACGGTTGACCCTGTCGCAACTGGAGTCGCGCCTCCTTCGAGAGGGAGGTGTTTCGCAAAAATCCGCGAAACTGTTCGAACGTGACGGTTTTGAACCCCTGCCTCTCCTGCTCCGCATCCCCTCCGAACAGCGGCTTATGACGGCCTACTGTGAGATTTGCATAAACTTTTGGGCCATATTGTAAACAAGCTCAAACTACAGAACCTCTCCAGACGCCATCCTCCACTTCCATCGACTTTGCTCCCCTTCCCTTTTGAGATTCCGAGCCAGCCTGTCCAAATTCTGCTGACAGTCCTGCCCTATGCCATTTCGTGCAGGAACTAGACAAAAGTTTACCAGTTACCGTCAATGCCCCGGAACCTACAAGCCTGTGTGCGTATAGCCAAGGGCGGCTGATCTCGCTTTTTAGAAAACCCTAGGGGGGCCAAGAAGAATTTTGTTCAGTTAAAGTAATTCTTCTTTTCACGTAATTGGCTCGTAGCCAAGCGCGCTTCGGGGCGCTCAACACTATTTTGCGATAAGATTAGCGTCAAAAAAAGCTGCACAAACCTCCATTCGGCCCGTATACATTTGCCGTCGTTACATCGGAAATCCGTTTCCGTGCATACAGTTGACGCGCTATTCACTGAGGCAGAGACCGGTTGTGATCGTGTTCGCGTCGAGATCGAAGGAGGCGAGTCGACTGAAATACGAGAGATTTGGTCCCATTTGGTGTTAGAAGGACATGTAATAATTGCTCATCGCTCCTTCTAGGGTAGATTTTATATTGAATTAGGTCCCAGAACCTCATTTTCTACAGAACTCAGCTGACATACAGTCACAACAATTGAAGTACCCGTGTACGCAACTGATGGAAATTGTGCGCGCCGTCGCTGAGCGATCACACACGGATGGCGCTTTAGCTAAACAGGTTCAGTGGCGAAGAAAAATGAGCACCGAGTTCGGCCTCAGCTTCTATCTGTACTTAGTTACTTTGAAGATGCTAAGCCTAAGCTCTCAGCCCTTACAAACATTGAGTTGAGTATGGCCCATTGCTCATAAGTCCTTGTATGGATCAAAATCAAGTTGAATGGCGGATTTTACGATAAAAAGACTCCCATTGAAATTAAGTAGGAGATGGTAGGTGATGCATGAAAGAAGAAGAACGACAAAATGGCCTAAAACTCAAGAAATGGGACATCTTCCTTGCCCGTTGAAGTGCGCATTGATGTGACCCTCACCGGTTCTGCTCTCTTCAACGCTAACACTCTCTGTCAAACGACTGAGACTCGTACACAAGTCGTGACGCAAGAGGGGCAGCGCTCGCCTAATCTGCGCCGCCCACTGCCGCGGGGAAGGAAAGCTATGCTAGATTCACGGGAGCATATCCTTTGATGCGAGCTGTGTGCACCTTCAGGAGGTTTGCCTGCCTCTTGGTAAGTCTCCTCTTCTTCGACCTTCGTTCTTATCGTGGGATCCTCCTTCAAAGGCGAACTGTAGCACATATGCGCCATTTTATGAACGGAATCAAAGCGTATGGCTTTTAGCTGAAGAGTAATCAACGGCGAAAACTCAATTACTCAAAAACCTAAAACTTTAAGTTATGAAAATTTTTGTTCCAGCTGTGCTACTTGGCTTGGCTCTATATTGGCTTTTTTGAGACGTTTCTCATGATGAACAACGCCATGGAGGAATTTGGCAGATCCAATGCGAGTGAACCTCAGTGGGGTCCTCTGGAACACCCACCGGAATTACGACCGCTTCCCAACAAATTTTGTTGACTCACTGATCACGCTGGCTATAACCATCTCAGCTCTTACGAGAAGTGACGCTTTTGACTGTTCCATGCTATTGATCATTGGTTTTTGCTTGTCAACAGGCTTGGTAACTGCCAGGAATGCTAGAGGGGCGGGTTCGATTCCCGCCGCGGGCAAAGTTTTTGTGAAACTCTCAGTAATTGTTGAATCGTTCACGGGTACCTACGTAATTCCCCATAGGCTGCCTGAATCCCCCGTTTCAATCCAAAGATTCATTTCTTATCTGCTTATTCTCGTGATTATAATCACGAGCAACACTTCACCCCGTGTACGGCGATCGATTCTCCCTGGTGGACGATGGTCGACCCGAACCGTCACCATGCACTGCGCGATGTCGGGGGGACGCCAATGAAAACTCGTTTCTGGTGATTTCGCGTGTGTTGAACGATTCCTTGGACGAACGCGCTCGGCAAGAAGAGGCGAATTCTCGAAGTTTCGTGTTTTTCAAGCTCATTTACTGCACTGCGTGAAACATATACATTCTTGTTAATGATCTAGGACAGATGACACTTCCAGTTCGACATCGAAAAGAAAAAACCGCTCAAGTGCAGTGCGCAATCTAGCAACCAGAAGAAATCTCCAATGGCGTCCAAGGGAAAGACTTGATGCTGTTTTTAGGAGTTTTTTGTGTTTACATCACATACGTGCATACATTCTCCGCCCATTATGCAAGCTCCGCCTACCCACGAACGTCGGCCGATACCCCACTTCGATAGCTTTCCTGAGCTTTTCTCTATAAGCAAGCTGCCAAATGTTCATATCCGTACGGTTTCGCCGAATCGATTTGATTCAGTGATTTCACGGAGCTTATTTCCTTAGGGGGGGGGGCATGTTTAGGGCCTTCGAGAACGGCGATTAGGTGACACTGACACTGGGACCGAGCCAGAAGATAAGAGAAACGCTATGGAGAAAAAAAATTGTTCATCCTCCTCCAGGATCCTTACCCTCTCTAAGGTTTGATCTCTGCACTGTAACTGACATGCTCACATGAATGTCCCCCC